AGAAAAGGCCAATGGAAATTTCCTTCTGATTTAGTGCAACAAGTATGTCATTTAAAAAGGAGAAGATGCCTGTCTACGGATCTATTACTCCTAAAGCCATGATGTGCATTTGAAAGAACTTTATTTGCATTGAGAAACTGAATCTATTATTGAAAAGCCTTTCCAGAATTTTTGAAAATCCTGATAACAGGGAGATAGGTCAGTAGTTCATTGGATCATAACTATTGCTCTTTTTAAACATTGGTGTAATTTTTTGCCATTTTGAATATATCTGGAAATAGGCCTGATTTTAGAGAGTAATTGCAGATGTGAGAGAGTTGTTGCACTAAACATAGAGCACTGTTTAATAAGAAAATCTGGGATGTTGACCAGGCCAGCTGAGAATTTATTCTCCATGTGTCCAATGATTTTAAAAATTTCAGAGACGGTGGTTTCATATAAAAATATGGAATTTACAATTTGGGTAACATTAGTGTTTGTTTGGTGTGTTTTATTGTTTAGAGTGTGTTGAGAGTATTTATTTGTGAATGAATTAAACTTATCATTTGTATCAGTAGCCTTATATACTTTTGTTGCAGCTTGCAGTTTTCGAATCTGAGTAAGTTTTGAAATTTTATAATGTTTTCTTTGGAATAGTTACGGATTTCTTTGTAAGTTGTCTGTTCTGCGACTTTTGTTTCTGTTTGAAGTGGTTAGAATCTGGGAAGTGTGGTCTCTGGGTGTTAGTAAGTTGTATGATTTTAGTAGGTCTTTAAATAGATTTTCATTATTGGATTGTGTGAGGCAATCTATATTGAAGTCACCGCAAAGAATAATTTTATACTGTCTGCGTTTTTGAAGTTTTGTTAGAATAACTTCCGGATTTTTAAAAAAGATTTTCAAATTCCCAGTAGGGCTGTGATATGCACATAAGACCCATGTTTTTATTGTAGTTGTCAGTGATGGATATTTCAAAGTGTTTCTCTTTCACAAGAGGAGTGTGACTGGTGAAGGGTACAAAACCAATAGTATTTTCAATAAAGATGCAAGTCCCACCATATGCATAATGTGTGTTGTTAATATTTTCGACATGAGCCCCCTAGAGAGAAACCTGGTCTATATATGTTATCTAATTGTTCTGTAGTCAATCAGTGTTCTGTGAAGCAATATTGAAATGTGGTTGAGTTTCTCCTCAAGTAATATTTCTATATCAGTGAGTTTGTTTTTCAGTGACTACTTTTCAGTGAAGAGTGTGAAAATGTTTTTATTTTTGTGTATTGTCTGCTTTCCTGCCAATGTTTGATGCCACAGGTTATACACAGGAGTGAGTTTTCGGTTGCAACAGAAGATATATGGATGGATGGATGGGACGGGGAGTAGGAAGTGTGGAAGTAGGTGAGGAGCTGGAGAGGAAAAGAAAAGTGAGGAGGTGGTTGGAAGAAGTGGAGTGGGCAGGAGAGGTGTAGGGGTTTGAGAAGGAGCTGGTGTAGGTAAAAGACGACTGGGGGCAGGTGAAGGATGCGGAGTGGGCAGAAGAGGTGTGGGAGTAGAAGGAACTGGTGGGGGTAAGTGAGGACTGGATGCTGGTGAAAGATGTGGAGTGGGTGAGAGGGTTGTGGCTGGAGAGGAGGAAGAATGGGCGGGAGGTGGATGTGGGGTGGCAGGCAGGGGCAGGGGTTCCCATGAGCATGGCTCCTAGTCTTTGTCACTGGGTCAGCAGACAGGAATGCAACATTGCAAAATTTCTGACACCTAAATGACCCCTCATTTCTGCTCCCAAGAGATGTCTATTAAAGACAAGCCTACTTGCATAACCTCTCATTTTGAGGACCTCCTTATTGCTAAAGCACTCCTTAAGGATTAATTATGAATTCGGCCCTTAAACTAGTTAATGCATCATTGATTTGGTACCGCAAAATGAAATTAGAATTAAACTACTGGATAAACTTGAAAAATATTGGGGAGACATGTCACCATCCACAATTTTTGGGGGAATGGAAATTCACAAATCTGCACAAGAAATTCAAATAAAATCTAGTGTAGTATTTATTTCTCTTTTTAGCTGTATTTAGAAATATTCATACTGAAGTCTTCTCAACAGAATTCCTATATTAAAATATAAAAATAAAGTAAAAATGATTTAAAACAAAATACATAAAAATAATACACTTGTTCTCAAATTAAATTTAATAACATATTTAATACACTTTACACAAACACATTTTTCCATGGAATGTATGTACAGAGAATGTCAACATCTTTACAATTCAGAAACAGTTTCAAAAAAACATTTATGTACACATTCTTCAAAACTTATACAATTAGTAACAGATGGTACTGGAATTGTTATCTTTAACAGTTCTCAAGAAAACACAGTATTTTTAGAAGCATGTATTTACGGTTAAAGTATATTTGAAATCTATACTTAATGACAAGAGTTTTTTTGTAAAAATTATTCTTACTTGACAATTGATGGTATTCATAGCAATGAACAACGCACACCGAATTTTTGATTTTCAAAACAAAGAAACTTATTTTAAGAATCTGTGGCATGAGTAAATAATACAAATAATACACATGAAATATGTGTGAAAAATAAACATAAAGACTTATGTTATGATCTCTAATAAATACATGTACATCTCACAATTGATAACAGCAGCAGGCAAATTATGTATTCTTAAAAGTTATATTTTCTGTACAATAATGTGCAGAACTACTCGCACATTATACATAGCCCTGTGACACCAAGATCCCCAATTTTAAAAATAATATTTCACAACTATTCATTTATTTTACTTCACAAACTTTTAGCAATTATCCTAATACATCTATATTTCAAATACATTTATATAGACATTAAAAGAATCACAAACGTACAAGGCCAGCCAGCTGGAATATCTTTCTACAGTCATAACAACGCCATCGTTAGCATACTGAAAGTGATTCATTGTCTAAGGAGATTTCAATTATTAGACAGCCCAGAACATTCAAACACTAATTTGTATTTTCACCATCACAAAAACGTTTCTGCTATTGCCAAAACCACACCCCAACAATAATTTCTACAATACATAATACTATGTAATATTCTTTCAAAATATGGATGTTTAATCCCTCTACAGAGATTTTACTTCAACCATATCAACCGTAATATGATAATAGACATATGGGTAGTATTCTGACTGTCCAAATCCAAGTCCAGGAATGTCCATTGTCTAAAAAAGATGCAAATTATATACTACCAAAATTAAAATAATACCTTTATTTAATTATAATGATAATAATAGGAATAATGATGCTCACATCATGAGGACCAGATGATCCTTGGACTGATCCTCCATCCAAATGACCATACAACTGATTTAAGACATCACGAAGTTTCTTTGCTTGTTTTTTATTAGGTTGCAATAGCATTGCTTGGAAATTCACTGGCAAGCCATATCTATAAAAATAAACAATAGTCAAAATCACTTGACTGACTGACTCAGTCAGTCAACGCGGCGCTGCCAACAAGGACACTTCGCCCCCGCCAGCAACGCCACTGAGGATGCCTGCCACAGTTGCAGGCGAAACGTATGGACAAGTCTCCATTGGACCACGGCCTTCAAGCCCGGAAACAACTGATTTTGATATGGAAACCGGCCGTGAAAGCCTACATTGTATGATAAACAATAGTGTTTTGGAATTTATCTCACAATTTCTGAACTATGAGTGGCATTTATTAAGACTATTCGATGAATGAAATAAACTAATTAATGACAATTAATAATGAAATACATTTAATTTATCACGATATTACAATAAATCATGCAAACAAGCTGTGATCTTGCGGGTTGCCTTCGAATAACAAGATTGCAATATACTTAACATACTAGATTTAGTTTTAAAAATGTATTAACTTAAACTCTGTTACTAAACACAAATTTCTGAAAACCTAAATTAAACAGAACTTTATTGACTACAGAATTTGGAACTGTCACGGTTCTAAATGTTAATGTTGATGTGGACAAGGGTAAGAGTATTTAATACAGGACAAAGGTAAGAGTATTTAATATTTTGAAGTGTAAGTGTATTCTATATTTCCTAATTAATAAGCTTCCTTGAAAATATGACTTCAGTGAGGAAGCATTGTATGTCCTGTCATTTTTATTATTTTTTGTTCATGTAACCAACCTTGAATAATTCAAGTCACAGCTGAGGTTTGTTCAGAATAAATCTTTTCCAATTTGCCTGTATTACAATCATAATTCAAACACAATGAATTATTCAAGATGAAGCAAAAGGACTAATTTATTGCAACTACATTCCTGTAACTATCAAGCAATGAGGAGCTGAATAACAGCAGTGATAATCTCTAACTGATAATCTTAGTACAGAATGACAGTTCCAAATGATATCTCATTTGGAAAGGAGGACAAGAGGACCTCACCCTGAATAGGACATGTCTAGTTAAAAACCCTCAGTACTACTGGGGTTCGAATCTGGGTCCCTCTGGCACATTAGTTCTAACTAGTATACTGTCATGACCCTGGAAAAATTCATGATATTAATAAATGATAACATATGTTGTGAACACAGTGAGAGATTTCACAAGCATTCGTCAGTGAAGTCCATATACGGTAGGAATCAAAATTTATAGAGGATAAACCCTTCACTGCATTACTCCCTTCCATCTGCAGGCCTTACTCCTACTCTGATAATCTGACGAGGCCAGATGGACCTGAGGGAATGGAACCAGAATTCCCAAACCACTGTGGCACCACGCAAAGGTTACTAGGTTTCATATGCTAAGCAAGAAAAAATGTAATTAAAATAATTTTTCTAGTGGTGCATTCACATTCCCTAATTTTTCCAGGGCAATGAAGTTCTCTTTCATATTCTCAAAGCATGAAACAATGCGGCCCTATTCACTTACTCAAAGCAGGTGACAAAACCCTGACATACCCAATGAAAATTAGTGCCATCGTATCTTGAAAAATGTAACAAATCATTATCACTGTTATTATTGTAAAAACATCACTGCTTCACATTGATGATTTTTTAAATTATTTTATTAATATAGAAATGTAGATTATTTGGACAGGGAACTTGTTTAAGTGTAAAGATGACTTTAGGTCTGAATGTCAAGATTATTAGCATTAATGGTTTATTAAAGCTGATTGTACACCATAAACTTTAAATAATAAACAATGGAGTACAAAATCTGCACTATGATTGTCATAAATGAAAATAAGAATACTAACATGAGTCAAAAGTTCAGGGTAGTGTAGTGAAGTGTGATGTAGAGCTGAGAAAGTTTGAATGTTGATATTATATATTATTTGTAATATATTTTAGTGCAGGTCAATGTAAAATTAAGGCTACCATTTTCCTCTATTTTCTTGGAGAATTAATAATCAATCTATCTCATATCTATAATAAAATGAGTTACCCAAAGTTGCTCTTTTGTTATAATGCCCTAGAACTACTAAGCAACTTTGCCATCCTTATAAGAACAAAATAGCTTATGTTTTAATATATTAAATTCTTAGTTTACCTCAATACTGATTCCACAAACACCCTCAAAGCTTTCACATGAATCCAAGCACAAAAGCATTCACTGAAGTTTACTTTCAGCCACCGTACCAAGGGTCCCTGGAAACAATAAATGAAAACCCTCTTATTCACTCACTCACGATATAAACAATCGCAAAGAAATCAAAAACCAAACAACATACAAACTGATGATCCACATTGTTTATACACACTTTTGACCACTGGGATGTAAATTAGGAGGAACAGCATTTGTGTGAGGCAGGGGAAAACATTAGCACGTAGCAAATGACCAATTTGAAAGCAACAGGATTTAACCTTATTTTGAGATAACTTTTATACAGATAACAGAAAATACAATTGTGCTCTTGAAAAGAGATTATTTTTTTAAATATTTTGGGGAAATGAAACTAATTTACCAAATCAGATGAAGGGGTTAATGTCTTTAACTTAATTAATGGGGATGAATTCTGTCCTTTGAAACTCTACACCCAGTATCCTAACTCTTCCTTGTGCATAAATTGCCTAGCATGCAAATCTGCTAACAGTCCATTTTAAAAACATTTATTAGACAGGTCAGCAAATTGAAAGTAAAACTAATCACCAAAAATGAAAGTAGGTGTTTGTAGATCAGTTCAAGTTGAATGTCATTTGAGTTTTTGCCTATCAGTTGTAGAAATAACATGCACTTTCAGAAAGACTCTTCTATACAATTGCTGGGGCTACAAATGCACACTTGTAGCTTAACAGTTCTCTTTTATAAATACTGAGGAAAGTGGTAAAGTTACACACAAGTTGAATTGAAATAGATTCACAAATTATAAAAGTACAGCTGTTGATTTCCTTTTGTGAATATCTTGGTAATCATGGGAAACCATCCAATAATAATCCTTAACTTTCATGTCCTGATCAAACCTCTCCTATAACTTGTCACTTACATCAGCTAGGTTGGATGGGAAAAGTCTAAATGTAAAGGCAGGAAATGAAGTTTCAGCAACAGGCGATGTACAATGTGTTGACATGCAAATAGCAATGATGCTGCATAATTTCTTTGTAATCAGAAGACATTTTATTACAAAGAAAAATGAGTGAAAGCTACTGAAAACGTTTCCATACCCATTTTTCAATATCCAGTCGCTTCTCAAATACAGGTCCTTCAATAGCTCCCTGATCTGTAGTCACACAAAGATAACAATATTCAAGTTTTGCAGAAAGTAAATATATTCCAAAACTTTTCACTTATGAACAGGAAACCACCTGAATTGGTTTTGACATGCATTTTTACAAATATTTTAACCAAGCCAAGCTTAATTAATGTTCAATGGTAACAGTAGCATCTTGTGTGCAGCAATCAATGGAATATGCTGGATATTTTCTTCTTGATTGAAAGAACTTCTTGGCTTCCCGTCATGTCTGAATACCACTGGTACAGTGAGCAATAATTAATGATCAAAACCCATTAACATACTAAATCCCTCTTCTAAGTCCCTACAGATGTCTCACTGATATTGATTGCACTAAATTGTTTCTAGTACAGTATTTTTATTTCTTTCAAATGAGTAGAGTGAGCACCAGTTATACATTAGCATAGTAAGCAATAGGTAAATTATACAGTAAAATCTTTCTGAACTGGAAATTGTACAAGCCATAAATCTTCCTTAGCCAGAAAATTTGTCCAGCATAAAACAGAACCTGTCCAATACTTACACAGCATAAAACAGAACCTGTCCAACGCAGAAACGGAAAAGTCTTATACATCCCTCAGGGGAAAAAAAATTATAAAATGGAATTCTTGCGAATTTATGCAATTGTCAGAGAGATGCAAGATATTCTTAATAAAATGAATCTGCAAGACTGTTTTAAATTCTCCCTTAGACATGTGATTTAGTCAAAGCAGCTGCACAGTGAAGAAGAGAAGCTTCAGCTGTCAGCACAGAATTTGACCTTGGGATCGCTTGTCTTTCAAGGTGTAGACTATAAGGGAATTCCTTCCCTCCTGACTGAGCGTGGCAAGGTGTACAAGCATAGATTCTGTTCATGCGACCTGCCCTACAATGAAAATCATAACCCTTTGGCCAGAGCTTTTTGTCTCAAGGACATGCAAGGGTATCAAAGAGACATAGTACTCCAGGCTTTGATGCATTGTGCTTTAAGAGTCAGCTAGCAGTTCAACTGCTGCCACTAGGCAGTGAGGTGGTGTAAAGTTTTACAAGTTTAACATTGACTGGAAAAATACCTAAAATTCTAACCTTGCACGAAAAGATCAAACTTAATGAAGCAAGGGAAACTCAAAAGTTCTCAGTGAAAGCTCTTCGAGAATTATTCAAGTGCAGAACTTGAATGAATGAACTTGCTGAACAAAAGCAATTTTTTGTTTAACGCCTCCAAAGAGTAAGTTTTAAAAATCACTATCGAATAGTGTGGAGAGTCCAAAATGTTAATGTCGAAAGTGCTCTGATGTAGAAAATAAAAGCTGCCAATATAATTGAAGGCCATAAACCAAAGGATACATTCAATGGGGATTTTTTTTTTCGGGCACTACCAAATAAAACTCTAAATTTAAGGGGAGAAAATGCAGAAGTATTCTAAACAGAGATTAACAGTGTTTTTATGTGGAAATGTAGATGGAAATATGGAATGACCTCTAGTCCAAGAAAATCACAGAAGCCAAGAAGTTATAGAAACCAGTTACCTGGCTTGCTAATAAAAAGGCATGGATGACAGCCTTTGATGGAGGAATGGTTTGTTTCCTTCAACAACAGACTGTCACTAGAGAAATAAAAAGTATTGTTATTTCTAGACAACGCTATGTGCCATCCGCACTTAATTCTTTCTAGGGAAAAATTGGAGTGGTTCCTTCCAATACAAGAGCCTATAGACCTATGGACCAAGGTATAATTTATTCCACGAAGACTCATTATCGTATGATTTTATGCAATCCCTAATTGCAAAAATGGAAGACTCAACCAAGGTAACTGAATTGTCAATACCATTTACAGTTCTGGAAGCAATTCAGTGGATAAAATCAAAAAGCCCCAAATCATCCAAAAATGCTTCAGGGGGATAGGTTTATCAACAGTTACTAATGTGGACAAGTTGCCAGTAAAGAATGACATTGAAGATGCATGTGAGAGCGTAGGCTTTCGTGGCCGGAGTCAGTATTTAATTGTCTGTCCGGGTGACGCCGCGTCCTTGGCAAATACTTTACTATTTATAATAAAGCCATGTAATTTACTAGTTTCAGGATGGAAATGTGTCATAAAATAGACAATCCTCCATAAGATGGAAACATCTCTAAACTGAATTTTTTTTGTCCCCATCAATTCTGGCTTACACAGATTTTACTGTATTGTTTGTGTGTATAAGACTGCCTGGAGGATTGGGAACAGGCCACCCTCGTAACCGGTCGTCATGAGGCTCTAGTCTTATTGCTGACTGCAGAATTGGACACACTATTCATTATTTCATTATTTACTGCGAAACCCTTCATACCGATACAGCAGAAATAGCAATGTCTTATCTATTCTCTGCAAAAGGCATAGACATGATTCATGTGTAACGTACTAGCAAACGAACCTCATGGCAGCTATTTGGGGATGCATGGTAAGGGATTAGTAACAGGAAACTACCTCACCACAGGAGGGAGATAAGGGCATTTCCTAAAAGCAAGCACGTGGCAAAGGGAGACACGAGGCTTTGGGGTCCTCTGGTATTAAGGAACAGAGACCCAAACTTCATGGTGAGAAGAAGTGAGCTGCTGAGGTTGCGTGATGTAGTAGGTCACGTGAGCCTCGAGTTTATAAGGGAGTGCACAGAGCCACTGGGTGGGTTCTGGAGACAGTGGAACAATCTCATGCGGTTGTACATGACGACAGTGCAGCAGTAAGCAGGGCTCGCAAGGTAAGTCACATGTTGATGAGCCTGTGGCAGACTTAGTGTCCTTTGCTGACTGCGGTCACGTGAGAGCAATGCTGTGTGTGTACTCCGAGGTGAGGAGTGGTTGAATGCCACGACTCGCGCCAATTCTCAATCGGGTAAGATTGCTCCTGCGATCAAGGCAAACCATCAGTTTGTACACCGGTATGGACTTTGAGTCCTAGTGTGACATCCAGTCACGGAAGATTGGCTTTGTGCACACTTCAGATATAGGAGTGGCGAGTGCCACAACTGAAACCGATCATCAATCGGGTTGGATGGCTCCCGCGATCAGGAGATAGCAGGGCTATCAGAGCTAGGGTGTAAAGTGTAAATTCATTGTAAATATTTGTTGTGTTTTACTTGTAAATAAATATATGCTATATGAAAGCTCGTGTCTGTGCTCACTGTGAGTATCCATGATGTCACACATGTTATATCATTCAAGAAAAGGCCATCGAGAGTTCCTGAAAATGGTAACCTGAATAATAAAAGCAATATTTACTGAACCAATACACTGTATGAGAAGAAACAGATACCATATTTGAAACCAGCACACACCTCTGTTCCAAACATCTAGCAGTTTTCCTGGCAAAAAAACATTGTTGACCTGTGTTATTTGCTCACAAGATGCAAGGAATTATGATCTTCAAAACTTATATTCATGGTATGCACAAATTAAACAAGTCATTTAGGGTGAGATTAAAATGTTCAGCAATTTTCCTGTGTTTGATTTTCTGGGGAGGACACCACCCTATGATCCTCAACTAGATCATTAACTAATGCATCAGTTTATTCATAAAATATCGTGAAACTTCAGAATCAAATCCTTTTTCTCAGTGAAATATCTTTCATCATTTACAACTGTGCAGAAGAAGAGAGTAATATTTTTCAAGTCATATCTCTACTTTTTAAATAATCTTATTTAATTATTTTGCTTTTACTTACAAATTGTTTCTTTTTGTCTGTGGCAAGTTTGGTAATCTGGTTCTTTCCAGCTGCCAACTCTTCCTCATTGTAAGTAAAGTCACGAACATTAAACCTGAAATTTTCATCTTACTATTAGGTATCTCTCAAACAAATTCAGAGAACTTAAAAAATGGTTACTTCTTAATCCAAACAACTGAAAGTAATTATTTATTTTTCAACATTCAGAGCAGTATTCGTTTCTTGAAAAATGAAGGCACTTAGAAATTTTGTCAAATCATAATGTTGGCACTAAGCAATACTGCATTTCAGAGTAGTTTTCAACAATTTCAACAGAAATATTCACTTTTACATGCATCAAACCAATTTAGTTCTTCCTTAACATCCTGTCTACATATTACACAATAAGAATAATTATGTCCAATAAATATTAATTAACAATTACTATTTCCAGATTTATATTAATATTTAAAAACATTAATACCAACTTTTATACTACTTATATCCTACTCACTTCCAAACAATTTCATTTATCATAAACATGTACCTCACACTTCCAAAGTTGCTACACTTCAGCAGATTGATGTTTAGAATTCATTAATGCAAATATTTCTTAAGGTAGTGCTGGGTGACTAGTGATCTGACTGTGATAAATAAATAAATAAAGATAGTCAGGTATCAATATTTTAATTCAACTTATGATCATTTCGATCGCGTAGCGATCATCCTCAGAGCTTGCAGCTTCTGGGCCGAAAACAAAGTTCTGCCCAGAAGCTGCAAACTCTGAGGATGATCGCTACGCGATCGAAATGATCATAAGTTGAATTAAAATATTGATACCTGACAATATCTTTATTTATTTATCATAATAAAAAGGTATCTACTTCACCAACAATCCAATTAATTAATAGTGATCTGACTTTTAAGAATTCAATGTTTTATCGTAGTTCTCCAAGTGTGAGAATAGAAATTTTCCAGGCTCTGTTTTGTACATAACACATTTTTTTCTGTAAATTACTTAACCTTACAATGTCATTCATATACTTTTCTTTTGCAATGAGTACTAGAGTGTAGAATTTTGTACAAAAACAAGCCTTAAAGAAAACTTGCAGATTTTTTTCTCTAGGAAGTTTATGTTACTAATTAATATTCAGAGTCCTGAAATGATTAAGAAAGTATTTTTTTCACCCAGAATGTTCATCTCAAAGCCACTGGCGGATCGGGAAGGGAGGGGGAGGGGGAATTACTCCACATAAGGCCCAGAGTTTTCATTTACCTTCCTGTATTTGGCAATATTGATTTAAATATTTATTTATGTTCAAATGATGTAATTATTTAAATAATAATATTAGTATCCTATCTACAGTACATAAATAATACACAATGTAATAACAAATATGTTTATTATTTAACAAAAAACGATCCCACACCCCCAAATGATCAGCTGGATCTGTCCCTGCTCAGAGCTGACACCAATGCAGGGTTTGAAATACCTCATTCCTTAGATCGGTTTCAGAAAATGTCGACTGCACCGTGAATGACAGTTTTCAACATGCCAAAAACAGTTTTCACTATGCAACATGCTGGCTAACTATTTTAAAGATAGATTATATTTAGCAGAAAGAAATCAAATAATTTAGAAATGAAATGAACATACTTTTTCTCCCGGGCATGAAGTTTAAATTCATCCACTACCTTCTTGAAAAGAGTGACAGTGAAAAGCCCATTTTCATTGTCTTGGAAAACCAGCTGACTCGATCGAGGAACAACCATATCAGTCAGTTTCTCATAACCCTGATTCCAATCATTAAAACTGTTTCTGAAATAATGAAGGAAATGATTAAATTTCAAGTTAAACAGTTAGCAAAGAATATTTTAAGCATTAGAAGAAAAATACTCAGTAAAACACAATTTCATTCTGAATTGGAGATAAATATATACACAAAATTTTTCAGAACAGTTGAAGTTCTATAAAATTAATTTACCTCAGTTTAGAAAATCTCAAGTAATAATCCCTAACCTTATAAAATAATCAGAATAATGTCATGCAAGATACAACTGAATATTGGAAAGGCAAGGGAGGGGCAACATACACATAGTCACAAATTATAAACTGAAAATGAAGGAAACCAAGAAGATGAAGAGAAGTAAACTAATGCTTTAAGTCATACATTTATTTCTGCATTAATTCAATTTAATACATACAATTCTTTAAATAACATTGTACACACAGTTGCAGGTTCAATGATTAATTGTCAATTTAAACAAACACTGAATGAATGTCAAAACAAACTAATTACCATTTCTTAGAAGGACTATTTGTTGACTCACCTGGGAACAATGACAAGAAGAGTTGTTAAGTACTCCGAATCCAATATAAAATGTTCCTTTTTCACCAGATCTGCCAAATTCCTAGTCATTAAACTGCCCCTAGTACAGAAAAAAAAAATCAGAAAATATAATGAAATAAAGCTGATGCAATGCAAACAGTATTTACTGAAATAGATTTACTAAACAGTAACAGAGCTTATTGGAATAGACCTGTATAATTTAAGTTGCATAAACCAGCAGGTTACATCGCTAAGACAAAAGGAAAACCCAGGGTCACAGATGTGATGAAGTTTGGACATTTTGAGGGTAAGCCTTGAATGGTCAGGAATAGTGAGTTAACATACATCATAATAGTACATAATTTGCAGTATACTTTTTCACACAAATCCAGAACAACTAATTTTTCCTCTGAAGGTACTGCAAAACCACAAGACACAAATACAGTAGTTAGATATTCACTTTTACTTTAATTTTTATTGCAACATTTGTCTACAGGAGTAGTGTCCTTGAGATATAACTGGTAGTTTGCTTGGATGTAACATACAAAGAAAAGTTCTGTTATACTTCCAAAAAATTTGCTTTTAAATTAGGGAATGCAAAAAATGAAATCACCCATACATTTGAAAATCTAGAAATTTGATCATTTGAAGATAAAATAGCAAATAAAAATGCATTTTAAATTAAATCTATTTTTAAATGTTTTTGGTAACGTTAAAATGTAAATATATTAAAAAGTCACCAAACTTATGAGCGTAGGGTACAAGGGACCATAGAAGGCCTATACTTCTTTCAAGTTTTAAAACGAAGATCATAATTAATATTTTAAGCTGTGGGACCAAATAACAAAAAATGGGACGAATCTAAACAAGGGCTGTTTCAGCATTTCACCAAAGTTTATCAAGCGAATGGGGCTGAACTCAGCAAAAAGAGATGATTCCATATTTTACAGACATATACAAACACTAACATATTCTTAATAAGCACAGCAAGAGTCATCTAAATAAAATATAAAAATGAAACTAATGAAATAATTTCAATGTTTTGTGATCGGTAACTTCATTAAACTATCTCTCCCAACAACAAAGCACACAGCCCTTGTTTATAAAGCACTTTGGACCATATCACTTACCCTCACCTTGAAAAAATGTCAATCCATGTGATTGCACAATTACCATGGAAGCTACTAGAATGGTGTGGTAGCTACTTGAGTCAGCATAACTACTGAGGTTATTATTTATGTTGCTTTCAAGAACCTTGAATCATTCAGATAAGAGGGGTCACATGAAACCCACAGCATTCAATTTTGTATCAGGATGGACTTACAAGTCAAGGTGCCCTGAATGTGTTTTTGCATAAAATTTGTTGGTACTTGCGCACTGCACAGACTTAAGAACATTATGTCAAACACAACAACTGAACCCCTGAGCCACTTCCTCAACTTGTATATGTTTAGCGATCATCCATAAAAGTAAATTGGCATAAAAATGAAAAGGAAATTGTATGTGAAAATAAAATATATGTTACACCATTATATAGGTATTCCTTGTAAAGTACAGAACTGTGAGCCAGTTTATATGAGGTGTCTCATAAATCCCTGCTCAGAATAGGTACATTTTATTAATTTCCATTTGAATACTAAGGACAGTTTTTGCAGCAAAGACTGCAAGAGACACCTGCTCCCTTCAACTCCTCTCACCTTTTAAACCTCTCTCTCTCTCTCTCTACACACCTCCACCCCAGGAGTACTGAACAATCTGCTTTAACTTCAACTAGAGCTTACGTTTGTCGTTTCTCCAAACTCTGCAAGTTCCCCTTCAGATTATTGTAAGCTGCACTCTTTGTTTTGAGGTCTGCATCTATTTGCCCCACTTGCTTACTGATAATATCTGCAATATTTCTCAGAGACTGTTTTACAGGATACTTAGCTAAGTCCCATTGGAACCGAATAACATATTCAGATAATCCACCTGGAAGAAAAAAATTATATTACGTCTCCATTAACAAAATTACTTGAAAAACAAGGTTTGTATTTTTAACACACAGTTATTTGCCAGAAGATTCTCTTGAAGTTTGTCTCTCTGATCTTCCAAAACTTCTCCCAAATATTGGGCCACTTTTCGAGTCACTTGTTCCACAAATCCATCAAGCTTCCCTAAATCATCAGATAATCCCACAAGTTGATCCAGAGTTCCAACCTAAACACACATTTTTTTAAATGTCATTGAATGAAATTTTCAGCTGACAACTATATGCACAATTGCAAAACATTCTCAAGACAAACAATACCTTTAAATCTGGAATGTGAAATTTGTAATTAATAGACAAATTATTCTGCTTGCTTGTAACATTATTAAGAGTATCCCATGTCTGCTGACAAGTTTTTTCTCCAGGGGCAGATATCAGCCAAAATTCACTCATTTTGTAAGAAGTTGCAAACTCTTAAAAATTAAAAACCAGACAAAAATTCATGATTACAATCAATCAATATTTTTAAAATCCACATATATCATAAAATAGTGGGGAAAATTAGCAAAAAAAAAAGTAACTTCAGAAGAGATCAGCTGGTGGGTGTGTAACTCTATGAATCTGGTTTTCTTAAATTCAATTATTGTGTTGATGATAAAATTCATACAAATTCCAAAACACACACTAATCAAAATTATGTCTAAAAATAACTTACGGGTACTAAAATACTTCGTTAAATAGGAGAGGCAGGAACTAGCAGAAAGTTATGAAATACAATTTCAGATGACTACCATAGTTAATTCACGTGACTTGGTGCTGGCATCTACAACTGGGTTCTGAAATACGACCACTGACAAAAGAAGTTTGAAAACAAGAGCAATACGGCGTGCGAGTACCTTAATGCCGCCAATTTTAAGTCATTCGAGATTCAATAGGCGCCGATCACGGGGG